AAGGAAAGTTTAGTCGCTAACCAACTTAAGAGAAATGGGCCTGAGAGGAAGAGAGTTGGCATATCCATGATGTTAGGTTTATCTAATGCTTAAACAATGCCCACACACTTTAATTACCAATCATCATTTCATTTCACTTGACTTCCATCGTCCTAGGCTAGGAACCATTCTATAAACTGTTAATAAAATCTTATATTCAGATAAAAACGAGTTTTCCAAGCATTGGAATATATCTTCGTTGTAAAAAGAGAAAAGAAGCATAATAATAAAAAGTAATCCCCAAAGGTTTACGCTGCAATAAGAGTTGAAATTTGCTTATTAGCATATAGATAATCAAACCACACATTAATCCACAACTTTAACATCAAAATAAGTCATAAGAAACCCATCTTTACTCTCAACAAGTCTTCAGTAGTTCATCCAGAATACAAGGGCCAAGAGAAAGTCAAAACTTGACATGACCAAGAACAGAATTACCGAAATAAATTATGGATCAGGAACACTAACAGCAATTCCATCAACTTCGGTCGCCATTGAAAATTGTATTATCAACCAGCTATTTCGGTAAATGGTAGACCAAACTACAAAAGAATATGACCTTGGACGCCAGTAAATACATCAAAATGCTGGCTTGTTATGCTTAGCGCACCAAATTATTCATAAAAATGGGAATGTCTAAAATTTATCTTATTGTCAACTGCATTGGCCGTAAAAAAGCTTGAAGGTATGCAGATGCAAAGTAATATAGACAACAGGTCTGGTGCCTGCCCGGTTCAACACAGGAAAGCAATTTAATTATGACTTGAACTTGTTGCTGACAGAATCATAGCTTGGGACATTAATGACTGCAAAACAAGAGGAAGAAATATATAGATAAAACACTCAAGAAAACCAATGAACCAGAATAGAATACTTTGAATAAACCCATAAAATACCATCTCCATATGATGCCATTGTCAGTGGGGATGAAAGAAGCTTCTGGGCTATTGAAGTAATATCCTTCACTGTAACATCATCCACGGCCTTCAAGAAGTGATCCACAGGTTTCCTAAGAAACAACAAATAATTTAAGAGGAAAACATCATATTACAGTCTCATGTGATAAAACTGCAAATGTGCATTAAAGAACAGGTATTGGGATCGAAGTGAGTCATTATTTTACCAAAGGCCACAGTGAAAATCAGTCTGCTCCTTTTGTCATCAACAGAGATCAAATATCTTTCCAATCAAATGTTTTTCATATATACTAGGTACTGCTTAAAGATCAAATGGGCATAGATTACAAAATTTCACCAGCTATGACATTAAAAAGTGGGGAAAAGATCATTATCTAAACTAGACCTTTTAAATTTGAGACTCTAGACCGTACATTACAACTATGAAAACTGTCATAACCTGTACAAAGCAACATTCTCATGCTCTCACAAATTCCAGACAGTTTTTCTGACACTGACATGATCACATGATTCAAAGCAAAATGACATCTCTTGTGCTGATTCCCTGCATTCTCTTCCTCATAGTTAAAGTCAAGTAACTATATCTTACCGACTTCTCTAGCAGATGCTGAATACTGCGTGTCAATATACATACACAATGAAGTACATGATGCACAGGAAATAGATAATATACAGAAACAGATCCTTTGAGGGTTAATTGTAATAGTTTATATACCCTCTGAGTGAACGATAAATTGATATCATGACTCTAGCCATACCTGTCACCATATGTCAAAACTTGTCTACCTATATCTTCAGATACAATCATCTGCACAATAAGAAAAAATAGATGAATAAGAATTTCAGAATCTTGAGCAGAAAAAAATTAACAAAAAAAAGTACAATTTATATCCGAGATCAAGAATTGAAAGAAAAAGTTAGCATACTCTGGATTCCAAATTCATCAAAATTGCAGACTTGGTTGATTGTTTAGCACGATCTAGCTGTACTTGATCAACTTCACAGAAAAGAGAATGCAAAGTGTTAGTCAGTATTGGGCTAACAAATCAAATGTTCTTAGCAAGAAACGTTACTGAACAAGGTAAAGATTGGCAGGAAACCTTCTCCAGGAGTGGCGACTGCAATAAGCTCCTTCGCTGCTACATCAATAGCTTTTGATACAAAATCAGAACCCTGTATCCAGATACAAGCATCTTCAATAGAGATATCTGAAGCAGAAGTTACTGACATGGCTGATCCAAAACTACTTTCATGACTAAAGGATGATGTGAAATTCCTAGAGCTTTATATTTTAAAAAGGTCACACAAACAATCACTGGGCGCTTTCATATCACCATTCCGGAGGAAGGAATGATTTGGTTTCTTCTCTCACCTCTTTATTCAGGGGTGGGTGGTTGCATTTGTACCTAGGCTAGTGGCTAGCATAATAAAAGTTCGTGGAGATATAGGAGTATAGCTGTAAAAAAGTTTGCCATAAACCAGAATCTCCTAACAAAATTCTTTTGAAAGTAAATAAACAAACTCAAATAGTTGAAGTTCAGAATGGAGGCTTACAGTGGTAGCCTGAATACCAAATATGGCACTATGATTGTAGATGTTGTTGAATGCTGAAAATGACTGAACTTGCGCATACTCATTCAAAACACGAAGATCTGTTCATCAGCTTAGCACGAATAAATTATATGCCAGTGACATAGTTGCAGATAAGTGATGCAACTATCATAATATTGAGAGCACTGCTTAAACGAAAAACTACAAATAAACACAAGTAAACGAATTTATCCACTAAACATAACATTTCTCTCAATACGAAACTATAAAAGTTGTAACAATAAAAAAGAGCTATAAGAAACAGAACAAGCAGACAACTGAATAAGCACACACTACAGACATAACTTCAAATTTACGCATCCCATTATTGCTACTTAAAATTCAATAGTACACTGATAAGGGATCAAGGATAATAGGATCAACTTACATAGCCTCGAGTACATTCCTTTTCCAGGCCCTCCTGCTGAGAATGATCCACCACCTCCCAGTAGCATCTACAACACATTATATTTACTATTGCTTTTCAACTTAAATTTTCAATAAGAAGCCTCTAGAAAAATATAGACACAAATTAAGGGAACCACCAAGATAACAGAACCCTAAAAATGTGCTTGTTAAATGTTTAAAAGGTAAAAAGGTAATATTAAGAATATTGAAATGATATGGTAGTCCACTATCAGAACCTGAAGAACAGTCAAAGCCATAGCTTCCTTCTCTTTATGCCAACCACCAGGAAGTTCAAATGCAAGAACAAAATGGGTTCTCTGGTCCTGGAAGGAAAAATTGCACTTAAAAACCTTTTAGAAGGTTAATAAAGGCAGAAGATTTAAGTTTTTGATGCATGACATCTACAATACATACCCCTGAATCAGCTTGACAGCGATAATCACCTCCAGTGTACACAGATTTTGGCTCTTGGGGACAAGGAACACTCGGTAGGTCTGATAAAAGAGGTTCTGCTACAGATAACAGCTGCTCATGTTCAACACCGGAAGCTGCAAGTACCAACCGAGGAGCAGTATAATTTTCCTGAAATTCTCATACAAAACTTCAGAGTAAGAATGCAAAAAGTTGCAAATAGGAAATTACAATAAATTCAAACAAATATAATTTGCATAAGAAATAAATTCAAACATATTAGACTTACAGCAACAAATTCCTCCAAAATTGTACTATTCAATCTACTTATGGCAGATTCTGGGGCTAGAAGAGGATTAGCCAATGCACCAGAATAAGCGGCAGAGTGAATTGCTTCCAAAAGCAAGCCTTGGGGATTTTTGGAAGCATCGGTGATCTCCGATTTCACCTTCAGGAGCTGCAGAAGGAAAATATCACTTTCGAGCAGGCAACAATCTAAATTGACATTAGAAATGTAAGCAAGTGCAAACAAAATAATGAAAATACCTGCTCATTAACCTCCCAATCCAGGAAAACAGGGTTCCTCACACAGTCAATAAGCAGCTCCACCATTTCAGGAACATAAGTTTTCAGAGCATCAAAAGTGTATCCCATCTGTTCCCTAGAAGCTGAGGCTTGGACATTGCCACCAATTGCCTCCACTTCCCGCACAATACGCAGGTGGCTCCGGTTTCTTGTGCTTCTAAAGGCCATGCGCTCAAGCAAGTGTGTGGCTCCAAATGAGATTGGTGACTCATAGATTGAGCCACAATCAACATATAAACCTATTGAGGCAGCAGGGCTCTGATTGGCAAAAGAAGGAAACAAACTTTCTTGATAAAGTATAAAATAAATTCCCCTCAAGAACAAAGGGCCTTGAATTAGAAAACAAGTTGTCTATGAAAAAGTATTTGCATGCATACCACTGATGTTTCCGAGGCAATTTTGACACCATTTGGGAGAGTCGTAATCTTGGTTTTAGCCGGTTCAACATAATCAGGCAATGAAGGTGGAAGAGAGACACCCGGAAGTGGAAAGTCCAAAGGAGGTGAAGATTTGGATCGCTCCCCAGTCAACCAGCTAAAGAGACCACCTGAAGAGTATGAACTTGTGGCAACAGCACTAGAACTGGCGAATCTTGTGGCCGCAGGTATCCTACCACGCACATGGTCCTGTTCTCACAATTAATTGTAACATCAAACATTTCCACCACATAAGATAACCATCATATGTCAATATATACAAGTGTATAGCATTGGATAAACTGTGAATGAAAGAGAAAATCCATATAATTTAATTACTCATGCAACTAATAAACCCTATATGACACTATCCAGTTACAGTGGTACTTATCCATCACATTATCTCTTCTAAAATTATTAAGTAACTTACAATAAAAATTCAACCTTGCAATTCTTCAACCTTCAATTAATTTTCTCACCAGGAAGCAAGAAGCATATAGCAACACTACATTCTTATTACAAATTTATCTAAATTTCTAGAGAAAGTGAGCAAGGGAATAAACCTAATAGGTACCAGTTTCATCACATGAATATATATATATATGTATATGAACAGTAATCAAATCACCGGATCCTCCAATTTCAGTTCCATACTTCCATTATTTGATTTCTTCATACATAATGAAACATAATATACAATTCCTACGGTTTGACCGTGATGCAAGTAATGTGTTTACGTTTCGTGGAAAAGAAAATACAGCATCAATATGCTTTCTTTCATAAAACTAGTAATTTTTTCATCTTTAACATTTTGTTAAATACAAAACTATCAAACAACATAACTATTCTGATAAGAAGCATAAAATTCCAGCGACGTACAGACAGATCTACAAGCCAAAAATCCAAGCAAACACAGATTCAACTATCAACTAACATACAGGCAGCGAATCCAAGTAGCTTTTACTCCAATACGTTGAGTAATAAAAATGAAACCAACGGGTTTAATTAGGGCTTCAGGAGGATGGATAAGCGAGTACTGACCTTGAGAGAGCGAAGGCGAGAGGCAGCGGTTCTGTACATGGTGATCGTAGGTCACTGTCAAACCCTAGTTCGTACGGACGAGTGATGAAACTGGCTGGCTCAAAAGAAAGAGGGGGAGTCTCGTAGAGTTGAGAAATGTGATTGCCCAATGAAAAAATGGACACGAGTGATCAATCTGGTCCGTCTAATGATATTGTTTGCCTGATTTAATCTTAGCCGTTTAACTGATTATAGTCTTAATTCTCTTAGAATTATCAGTCGTTGGATTGTCTGATTTTGACCTCACCTTATTTACATTTTTAATTGATGCGCTCCATCTTTGTTTGCCACGTATTTTAATTTTCTCATAAATTCTTAATAGAATTTTATTCCAAGGGGCTGTTTGGATGGGGGTATATAAGATAACGGGTAATGTTTGTTTATTTTATAAGATTCATGTGTTTGGTTTGAAAGTAATAAAATATTATGGTAATTTTTTATTGTAAATAGTATTTACTGTTGGTAATATAGGAAGTAATCTTATTACCTTATTAGGGGGTGTTATTAAAACATTACTGAAGTTATATGATTTTTCTACCTATTTTGTCCTTAATTAAAAACCATTTCGAACATAATTGCCATCAAATGTCTATCAAATAACAATTACCCAACCCCCTACATTCGAGAAATTAGCTAAAACACTCTAGTTATAAAAAAGTTTAAAAGCTAACAAAATACCCCCAACCACCCAAGACCACCGCCGGCCACAGGCATCAATCGCTGTAATGGTGCACAACTAGCGAGATCTTGCTGGTCATGCATTGGTAAGGCCTTTTCTGGCCATGGATCTAGCTTTTTTATGGCTATTTCACAACCAAATATGTGGTCGTTTCACGGCCAGATTTGTGGCCGTGAAATGGCCATAGATCTGGTTGTTTTTTTGCCATTGATTTGTGATCCATGGTCATTTCCAGTTTTTTTAATGCACAATTACCCATATACAACCAGTCGTGCGCCATTTCGTCAACTGTCGACGATGGACAACGCTGGTGGCTGGTTGTCAGTAGTGGCTTGGGGTGGGTGGGGATGATTTTGCTACAAATTAAAGTTTTATATGGCTGGGGTATTTTAGCAAAATTTCAAATATAAGGGGTTAAAAGAATGATTCAAAAAAAAAAAAATACTATTATATTAAATTTAAAAAATGAGGGCAATTTAGTAATCTACATAACGTGCCTACCCATTTATCTTCCCAATCAAACATATTATTCACCAATTTATTCAAACTAATCAAACACATTTTCTAAACATTCCTAGTAATTTTCAAGGTGAATTTTCTATCCATTAATATAATATACCCCTATAATAAAATATTATATGATCCAAATGCCAAACGACTATTCCCACCCAAAGATCAAGCGAAATCTCAAGTTTTCACCCTTGGTTTCATTTATTTCAATTCTCACCCTTAAATTAACACCGTTAATAATTTTTAATTTTGGTACAGTACAAAAAGTGTTATTACTAAACTGTCCTTAACAAATAAATTAATAAATTACATTTAACCCCACTATAACTTGATTTTTCCGGCAACAGTGAGGGAGGGAAAATCGCTTAGATCCAGCCATCTAGCTAGATCTGGATTTTTTCCAGCGGCCATGAAGGAGGGGTAAATCGTAGAGAAAATGCTCAAATTTGGCCAAAATGGAGGCGAACGAGGTTGGGGGATGCAGGGGTTTTGTTGGCGATGAGTGGGGGAAGCTAGTTGTGGTGGCGGTGATGTCCAACAACACCGGAATCCTGCTAGATCTGGATTTTTCCGACAGCCATGAGGGAGGTCACTGGTCAGGGGTGCTTGTGAGAAATTTGGGATATAGAGGGTTATTTTGAAACTTTTATTATTATTTCAGATTTAATGAAGTTTAAATTATCATTTTACCCTTTGACCGTCACATTATATGATTTTTTGTTAATTTAAGGGTAGAAATCTGAAATAAATAAAATCAAGGGTGGAAACTTGAGATTTCGCTAGTCTTTGGGTGGGAACATGTAGTTTACTCTTATTCTAATTACAATAAAAAATGACTCACAATCTAATTCTATAAACTTTCTTTCACATCGGATATGACAGCTCGTAATCGATCAGTTCGCAAGAAGACAGACGAAACCTATTACAAACTATCATATCAAGATTATAAAGAAAAGTTTATAAGATTAGATTGTAAGCATAGTATTGCCCTTTTAATTATATACATAGTAAACAGGAAACACTGAATAAAAGAATGCTAGAATGTTCGAAGATATTGTAATAGTGGGCAGTGGCCTAACAAAGCACACGAGGTGCAGTATATTTGTTTATTGAAGCGTCAAGTTCAATGAAACGGAAAGAAGAATAGAAGTACGAACGATATCTTGAATGATACCAAGTGGAGAAACTCTATAAGCCTCTACAATCACAAATTATACCAGAATAAGTATCAGAAATGGAATATTGAAATCCCAAAAAATGATAAACATTCCCTTTTGAAATAACATGTTATAAATTGATCAATTAAGTATGCAAATTGATGTAAAGGGAGTCCATGATGTGTTGACATGGAGAGAATAATTCTCATCCTCTTGCAACAGTATCTTAGCGACCACATCTTTGTTCTACATCTCTTTCTTTCGACCTACTTGTGCTACTGGATGCTTATTCCCTTCAAATATTCACCCAATAATTTTTCTACATACCCACAAGCATTCTTTTGCATTAATGTCATATTTATTATATATATGCTCATGGAAACTCAGTCCCTCATAATTTGTTTTAACAACAAAGATGATGGCACCGGTGTTGGATGGCTCAAGATTGGCAGGATGTTACTGCCAGAGCTTTGTGAGGGAGTCCAGAATTCCATGGCCAAAAGCCTGTGCTTTCTCAAGGCTGTCAAAAGGTATGTAATGTTCAAGTGATCATCACATTATATTACAATTTCCCATAAAATAAAATGATTCATAGTGTTGTTCAGTTTTCTCGCAGAATTCCTTAATATCCTCAACTGCTAAGTTTACTTCTTCGCCCGTGCCATTTCTTGGGGTTGGCTGTGTAATCAAGAAAAAGGGAGTTAATGTTCTGTCAGCAGACATATCAGCACTGAATTTGGCTTCGGAATTTCTTTACGCATGTGATGATGAATACGGTGGAGTTATTATTGATCCAGAAAGCTTACCCTCAAGTGCAAACGCCTTTGTGTCTGCTCTTCGTGCTTCTCTATCCAACTGGAAAATGAAGGTTTGTGCACGAGTGTACAATTAACAGATTCTATAAATAACACAAACACATTCTTTTAACCATCAGATCATCCCAAATGTGCATTCACAATTCAAAAGACGTGTAATCGTGTGTAAATTTCTGGGAAATGCAGGGTAAGAAGGGAGTATGGCTCAAGATACTATCAGAGCAAGCTGATCTTGTTCCAATAGCAGTTCAGGTAATAATGCAATTAATGCTACGTTGTCTCACAGAAGTTCCCTCTGCAATTGATCTAAGGAATTTTGTTCGTTGTGTCCTATTCACTATCTCGAAATTTTAATAAGTCAAAACTAATTTTCAGGAAGGTTTCACATATCACCATGCTGAACCAGGATACGTTACGTTAACATACTGGATTCCTGATGAGCCATGCATGCTTCCTGCCAGCCCTTCGCATCAAATTGGCGTGGCAGGATTCGTGCTCAACGACAAAAGAGAGGTTTTTATCAACAGCAATTTTTCATCTTGCCTTTTTATCTATTTGTTCCATTTCATAACCCTTCTTTTTGTACTGCGAATTTACAACATTTAGGTCCTTGTGGTGAAAGAAAAATGTCCCTGTAGTTGCTCCGGTGTGTGGAAGTTGCCCACTGGTTATATCAACAAGGTGATACCTCTCATGTTTCAATTAATGGATTAACTGTAGAATCTATTCTACTGTGTCAAATTCTTTTTCCTATTATATTCACAAATGTTTGTAACGAACATGCGCTTTTCTTGATTCATATCAGTCTGAAGATATATTCTCGGGAGCTATAAGAGAAGTGAAAGAAGAAACTGGTGTAAGAACATAACAATTTACAAACTATCATTTTTTCTGAAATGGCTATTATATATTATCTACTTTATTAAATTGTATTCTCTATTTACAGGTTGACACAATTTTCCAGGAAATGGTTGCTTTCCGGTAAAGTTTTCGTCTATCGCCTCAAAACATATTAAATATATATTTAAAATTTTGATTTTAACTCGATCCACTTCTGTGTGCGCGTGCAACTCGATAGACATGCTCACCTTGTAGCTTTTGAGAAGTCAGACATACTCTTCGTGTGCATGCTGAAGCCATTGTCCTCTGAAATCACCATTGATGAGAAGGAGCTTCAAGCTGCCAAGGTAATTGAGGTTCAACTTCACATTTGCTTTCTCTATTTATATTGTGGTGATCTCTTCTTTCTGTAGCTGAAATCTTTGTCTTCAGTGGATGCCACTTGATGAATTGCTGGAGCAGCCATTTTATCTGGAAGACCACATGTCAAGAAAGGTCATCGACATTTGCATTAAGGCGTATGAAGATCAGTACAGTGGATTCATTGCTCGTCAGTTAAACTCCAAATTAGATGGAAAATTATCATACTTGTATTACAATGAATTGAAAAATATTTCGAGTATAGTTATGTAAGTTGTAGTAATCTGTTCCAAAATGAAATGAGAATAATACTACTTTGGGTTTGGGATGCCAACGATAAAGTTAGGCCATTTGATTGATGTCTATGCAAATTTCGTGACTAACCTTAGTGAGATTGGACACTCTACTTAGTGACTAGCTTGGTTGGTGTAGTGGGCTGGCCCGTAGTACGGATCTTAATGTAAACTCAATTGGAATTGGGCTATAACCTTCGGTTATGTAATAGATATTTTGTATTTGGGCTTTATAAAATGATAAGACTCAATAATTTGGTGCCAACGATAAAATTTAGACCATTTGAGTGATGTCTGATGCAAATTTCGTGAACTTGTCCCATAAAAAAATTATCCAATCCACCTGCATCTATCATATAAAGTTTTGGAATGGATTGCATTGGAGTGACGGGTTACTTATTATAATCATTTTATAATATGAATAATAATTTATTATCTATATTAATAATT